TAAACTATGTATTACAATTCAGATTTTGTATATTATCCTATTTATTTAGATAACTAATTTTTTTTCTTTATACAATTTATATAAAGAAAATTTATAGTTTCTTTATATAATTTAGTTAAAAATTAAAAAATAATAATTTATAATTAATATTGCTGCAATATATTAGCATAAATTGATGTATCTGAATATGATACATAAAAGTACAAAACCTAAAAATATCTTAAGTACGTAAAATAGATATTATCTACATTTGTACAATTCTGTAACTATTGTATGCAAGACTTTTTGTAATATTATTTATTATTATAAAACAACATACCTGAAATTCGTTCCAAATCCTCGAGATTGTTGAAGGGTTTGTGCAAACATTTCATATTTTCGAATGTCGTTATCAGAAACAGAACGTCTTGCAAACCTCATTGCTTCTTCGAAATGAGCTCTAGTAATTTCTGGTACAGGATCATCTTCCTCCATCTATGAATATTAAACGAGTAACAATTTATAATTAATATTTACAAAAAATAATATAAATTACATAGAAAATACAATATATGTATATAGTAGTTAAATATAAAACTTACATCCATTGATGCAGATGGATTATTCGCACGATCTTTCTCTCGACTAATTTCAGTTTCAATACATTGTCTAATAGCAAGTTTACACGCACGTTGACAAATTTCTGTTAAATCTGCTCCAGAAAATCCATGAGTTACTTTAGCTATATAACTCAATTCTACATCCTAGAATATTTTTATTCCAATTAATGCATTGCACGAAAAATATACAAATTACAATTATATTATATAAATTATCAATATTTACTTTAGCAACAGGTGATTTTCGTAAATTGGCCCTGAATATTGCTTCGCGTGATTTCTCATCTGGTAATGGTATATAAATGAGTTGATCTAATCTACCAGGTCGTAAAATAGCTGGATCAATAATATCAGGACGGTTAGTTGCTCCAATGATGAAAACATTTTTCTTTGCTCCCATTCCATCCATTTCAGTTAAAATTTGATTTATCACACGATCAGCTGCTCCACCGGCATCACCAACTGTACCTCCGCGAGATTTTGCAATAGAATCAAGTTCATCAAAGAATAATACACAAGGTGCTGCTGATCTTGCCTTTAAATAATAAATTAATGATTATTTGCATTATATTCTTTATATGTATTAATTAAGTTGAACTTACTTTATCAAAAACATCTCTGACATTAGCTTCTGATTCACCAAACCACATAGTTAATAATTCTGGACCTTTGACTGAAATGAAATTTGCCTGACATTCATTGGCAATTGCTTTGGCTAACAGAGTTTTACCACAACCTGGTGGTCCATAGAATAATACTCCCCTTGAAGGTTGCATACCGAATTTCAAAAACTTATCAGGATGCTCAACTGGGTACTACGAATCATAAAATGTTATATTAATCAAAATTATTTTATATTCGTTTATATACATATATCATACTTCGTTATCAAAAATGTATTGCTTACCTGTACCAATTCTTGCAATTCCATTTTGACATTTTGTAAACCTCCAATATCATCCCATGTAACAGTTGGTACTTCGACAATTGTTTCACGTAATGCACTGGGACTGCTTTTACTCATTGCATACTAAAATAAAAAAATGAATAATAAAATTAAAACGAATAAATGATATTTATATTAAAAAGAAAGTTAGGTTTATATTACCTTAAAGTTTTCCATAGTAACGGCAAGAGATGATAATACTTCTGCATCAATATGATCATCTTCTAAGTCAATGAGATCCATTTTTTCACGAATTTGTTGTAAAGCAGCTTCAGAACATAATGAAGCTAAATCAGCACCAACATGTCCATGAGATTCTGCAGCGATCTAAAATATTATTTTTTAAATATATATTTCATTGAATTATAGATGTATGTATATTCTTTTTACATCATATTTGATAATGATACTATATTTACCTCTTCTAAGTCTACATCATCTGCGAGTTTCATATTTTTAGTATGAATTCTTAGAATTTCCAAACGTCCTGTTGCGTCTGGTATACCAATATCGATTTCTCTATCAAAACGACCAAATCGGCGAAGAGCTCCATCAATACTGTTTGGTCTATTGGTAGCTGCCATTACAATGACGTGTGAGCTTTGCTTCATACCATCCATCAAAGTTAATAGCTGCGAGACTATACGTCTCTCGACTTCACCGTGAGTCTACATAAAAAATACAAAAGGTGTTACATTACACACATTATTACTAATAATATACAAATACTATTAATTAATTAATAAAAACCTTCTCTCTTTTAGGAGCTATTGCATCTAGCTCATCAATAAAGATAATCGCTGGAGAATTTTTCTCTGCTTCTTCAAATGCCTTTCTCAAATTACTTTCCGATTCACCAGCAAGTTTACTCATAATCTCAGGACCTAATTAATTATATATATAAAATGTTAATATTTCAATTTAATTTTAAATCAAAACATTTAAAAACTATTTTTTTTTTTTTTTTTAGATATACGTGCCATTTATAAGAAAAAAGAAAGCTCCAGTCTCGTTAGCAACTGCACGTGCAATAAGGGTTTTACCAGTCCCAGGTGGACCATACAACAAAATACCACGCGGAGGTTTAACTCCAATAGCTTTAAATAAAGATGGATGTCTTAATGGTAATTCAACCATTTCTTTAATTTGCGCCAATTGTTTACGCACACCACCTATGTCATCATAACCTACAGCATTAATTGCTTCTTCTTCTTCCTATAATACAGATAATTAAATATAAATATAATATTCGTTGAATAATTAATATTAACAAATTATTAATCTGATAGTAACCTCTCTTTTTATAGGATCTCCTTCACAATGAATTACAGTATCTGGTGCAACTATACAGAATGGACCTGGATCAGTTTCAACTACTTTAAATTCGACTGCTCGCATACCACCACGTACAATGAAATTATCATCCTTATGAAGTGGACGATATGCTTCCAAAAAGTATGGTTTCAAATAAACCTCAAATAAGTTCCTAAAAAAAAAAACAATGATTATTTTATTGAATAAAATAATAAATATTAAATAATTTTGAATAGTTTCATGAAATTATTTATATGAATTTACCCTGCAAGTCCATCTACAGTATCATCCATTGGTAATATATGAATTCGTTTACCATATTTTACTTCAGGACAAGCATGAACAGATACAACATCACTTAAACGAACACGTAAATTATTTCTGACAACACGATTCATACGAATCTTTTCATCTGGGCAAGTATCATCTGAAAGAACAATGCAAACCGTTTCTTTGCGTCTTTTTCCTCTTAATAATACAGTATCCCCACGAAACAATAGTAATTCATCCATTTTTGCTTGGGAAAGAGCAACCACAGAATTATCATCTGCAGTTGCTTCGTCTACAATTAATCTATTGGGCTTATCCTTCTTACGAAGGATTGCTGTCGCCAAGTCTTCTCTGTAAAAATAATAAAATATATTATTAATATATAGAGTAATAACAATTAAATATTATTATTATTTAGTGAGCCAATTTTTTACCATTAATTTCAAATTTGAAGGTTTATGATTTGAATATTAATGAGTGAGTCATAACATTAACTAATGACAAATAATAAAATATATGTACATTGTATAAATTATAAATTATTTAATTTTATTATTCAACATTAATTAGTTTAATATATAATATTACAATATTTTATATATAAGATTAAAATTAATATAATCTATACAGATCGCATTATCATTAAGAAGAAGAAAAAAAAAAAGAATTAATCTGAAACATCCTATTTTCTCATAAAAATAGTTTATTTCATTCTTTATATAAAAAAAAAACCGCAATTTAAATTAATTATCAAATTTTACATATCAAATAATTTCTAGATTTGATTGACTTTTATATATTATATATATATAAAAAAAAAGCCTTTGTCATGTTAAGCTGCCACCATTCTGCCATGATTGCTCCAATGATAAGAAGCATTTGCATCATATAGAATAATAATATATTGACATGAAATATATTGAGAAAAAAAGATCGATTTTTGTTCAGGTGGAATCTAGCAGTCGTGAAAAAAGAAAATATCTGTATATCTGAAAATATAGCGTTACGACGACATGATGACAACGTAAAATTGAGATCGCGACAGACGCACAATCACCTACGTGTCTTATACTCAAACGAAGAAAACACCGATAAAAATGACGAAAATAATCCTAGGTAATGAAAATAATTTAATATTATTTAAATTTAACTTACCCTTTTGTATCACCCATTGTACTTTTGATTTAACGAAAGAAAAACGTATACTCAACGGTCACAATTCGATCTTTAGAAAATTGCTACTCGGCAACAGTATCACCCAGTCCAATGATCACTCCACATTCGAAACTGTCATGGCTTGCTTGAGCGCCCTAATATCAAATTCGCGAATTAAGGCGCGTGCGCATTTTTAGATTGTCTTATTTCTTTTTCAATATTTATGATTGGTCGATGCTATTCACGCTTCTTTAATCCTCCAATTAATTATTTACAAGTATTATTTCTACCATTTAATTGGAATTTTACTAAATTATTGGATACATTTTTATCATAAATTTATATATTTAATTATATACTACGCTAATGAAATTTTAATTATATTATAATTTAATTTAAATTATATGTCATTTAGAAATTACAAAATGTCAAAAAAATGTTCGTTTTTAATTCGTTAAATAGAAATCTTTTGACAAACATATATTTATCCACGTATGACAACTTGGAATTTTGCTTGTCATCATTATATAATAAATATAATTGCATAACTTTTTGCAAATTACTTTAACAAATTAATATCTTTATTATAATTTTCTATTCTACCAATAAAAAGATATATTCTAACTTAAGTCAAATTCATATGCATTCACACAATTTGACATTTCCTGTCAACCCAGTGTGTCAGACTTTAAATAAATTACGTCATATAGTCATATGTATATATGTATGAAGTGAGAGTTCAATAAATATACACACTTATCAAATTGATCTGCAATGGCCGGAATAAAAGGTTATTCGGCATGTTCTTGATCGTCTGATATGCGATTTTTCACTTAGTGAAATTTCGAAGAAATGGCATCAACGGGAGGAAGTTTATTTAAAAACTGTGAAACACAAAATGAAATATCGAAACATAACCTTCTTACTTTAATTATCACTGTCAAATATTTGTATATACACACACTTAAGCTTTAGCTTTAAACTTCATTATTTATCTGTTGATCTGTTATTTCAATGTAAATTGAAAGTGTATCAGATTTATCCTATTTAATTCGTCATTATTGTAGTCAACTTCGTCGTTTTCAACATGATATTAAAAAGTGAGGAGAGAAAGCTTTGTCTCGACATTTCTGTAACTCATAACTTTGTTTTGGTTTAAAGTCAGAGATGTAGAATATACGTTTAATATTATTCTAGCTATTAACAAGCTAATAAGCTTATTAGCAAAATAATACTATTTCTTTATCTACACCAATGTAAATGTATATAAAACGAGACAATAGTATAATCATATATCGAGACAATAGTATAGCCGTATTTTAATATAGAAAATATATATTAACATATACATATCAGATTAACATTTATATAAAATTGTATTATTTTCTGTTTCATGTTATGTAATCTGGTGCCCATTACTATTCAACAGCGTAAGTGTCTTTTTGTATGAACATGAAAATATTTTCTTTTGTTATTGATTATTTAAAATAAAATACATTACAGGTTGGTTCTTCTTGCATTCTCGGGTTCTATTGGTATGACATTAGTCATTCTTGGTTGTGCATTACCACAATATGAGTATGTTTCTTTTATATCATTTATAAATAAATTATGTATACATGTAACAATATTTATTATAAACACATTTTTTAAAATTTCAGAGTATGGTGGCCCTTTTTTGTAGTCTTATTCTATATACTTGCACCAATTCCAACAATAATTGCACGCCGTTATTCAGAAGATTCACCAAGTAGTAGTAATCCATGTTTAGAGTTGGCCATATTTATTACAATAGGATTTGTTGTATCTTCCTTTGCTCTTCCTATTGTATTGGCACGAGCACCTGATGGAAATCCAGTTGTAAGTTTTTATAATTATTTTTCTTTTATTTTTTGTTTTCTTTTATTTACCACAGTTTTATATTTTACAATTTATTTTTGCAGATACAACCGGGTGCTTGCTATTTGACTCTAGCAGGAAATGTAATTGTTTACTTGACTTTAGTTGGATTTTTTGTAACTTTCGAACAAGATGATGTAGATTATAATATGTGGTGAAGTGATACACTTTATTGTACTTACAAAACAAGGTAAATATTACAATAATTATTTTTATAAATATTATTGTTCATTATTTTATAATTTATATATATATATATATATGTATAGGTTTTCTATAAAATCACTGAAGAAAAGAAAAGGAGAAGAAGAAGCAAGCAGCATCCTGACTGACAGCGCGCTATGTGTTAATACTAAATTAATATAAACTTATTGTACACTATTTACATAACACACAAAAAATCGATTTTATTACAACATAATTGATATCGATCTTTCATCAAATAGTATAATATTAATGCACTAATATTAGAGATCATGTTGGTATAATACTGCTTGATGATCAAATTATAAATTGTCATAAGAATCATCATATATCTTTTTATTGATAGAATTATCAAACAGATGTAACAATGCAAAGATATATGAAGTATATATATATACATATATACATATATATACACAAAAGTTATTTTTTATTTAATATAAGAATAAGTCCTTCATAATAATAATAATAATATTAATAAAATTTAAGTTTATTATTTGTTGTTAATTTTTCTGATGTCCTATAAAAATAACATTTGTTGAAATAAAAATGTAATTAATTAAATAATTTTTTTTTTTACAGACAGAAACTATATTTTGTTTAAATTAAAAAAAAATAAATATATTACAGTAGTATTTATTATATTTTGAAATTTAATCAATAATCAATATCAAACGAGTCATCAAAATTTAATTTGATAGTTACATATAAAATAAAATAATTTCGATGTTAGAAATTTATGATTAAACAAAAAGATATGAAATGTTTGTTAAAAAAATGTATTATTTTCGAAAATCAATATTTAAAAAAAAAAGTTATTTTCAAATAATAAATAAGGTAAAAATCTAAAAATAACCTTAATAAATAAAATACGATTAACATATGGGAGGTGTACAATTAAAAAATGTTTAACATATAGATATAAAATGAAAATGAAAAATAATACTAAAGATTAAACTTTGATTGCGTATAAAATATCATTATTCGTCCCTGAAATGATTCATCACGCGTATGTATCACAATGGATAAAGCTCTTATCTGACAGTTATCTTAAGACCATAACCAACATCAATGTCTTTAAAGAAGATTTGATAGATAAATTTGATTATTAAAATGGCAGAATGTAAGTTTTCCCAAGTAAAAAAATACATTTGCTGATTATTATCTCGATAATTTTATTTAATTAAAAAGATATTATATTTTAGCACATGAATTAAGGAGTATACATTCAAGTGTAAATAATGATGATGATATTCTATTGATGGATATTATAGAATTAGATGCCTGTTTAGATGCACATGATAATGATGAACAAGATAATGATGAACATGATAGTGTGCAACCAAGATCATCAGGATTATCATGTAAAGAAATATATATATGTATATGTACAATGACAATAAATTAGAACAAAGTGTACCATAGAATTGTATAATTCTAATTAAAATAATTATATGATTATAGCACATCCCAATGACAATGACATTCTGACAGATTTGGATTCTGTAATTCCATATGCAACTTGTCATATAAGAAGAAACACACAAATATCATTTCAGGACCATGCAGAAACAATTGCATCTCGTTTGCAATCTAGCAATCGACTAATGCAAGATGATTTGACTGCCGAACAACTTAGAATGGATATTTTAAAATCAATGCCACAGTGTTTAACTGTAAGAAGATTAGTAAAGTCTAAATTACACACAACGGTGCAACAGAGATCAAAGAAGATATCTATTGGTTATTGGAAAAGGCTCAAATATAAAATCAGTTTTGCTTTTCGAAAGGTTTTACAGTATTATATAATAATTATTTAGATAAGCATGCATTGAGATACATAGGCTTATTTTTTAATTGTAAAATAAATTATTTTTTTATAAATTTAGGTACATATAATAATTCAAGATATTGGACAGACTATGGAACTTTGGTACCATACAATAAAATCAATAGAAGGTCAGTTTGGAAGCGGAGTAGCTGTTTATTTCAAGTTTTTAAGATGGCTAATTCTTTTAAATATTATGTTTGCTCTCATGAGGTATTTTTATATTTTGTTTATTTAGTATTTATATTTCTTTTTTTAAATTGTATATAAGTTTTTTCTTTATATTTATAGCATTATATTTATTGTTCTTCCACAATCTTTGGATCAAGTATATTTACCTTCATCCTTTAATGCTTTGGATTTTGTAACAGGCAGTGTAAGATTATTGATATATTATTAACTAATAAAAAAAAAATGGTAGAGTTTTTCATTATTAATAATCAAAATATTACTTGTATATATTACAGGGATTTTTTGAAAATACAATAATGTACTATGGATTTTATAGTAATTATACAATAGAAAAAATGTTTAGCAGTACATACAGTATTCCTTCTGCTTATTTTATTACATTACTTTGTGCTTATATATGTACGTTTATTATACTTTCTGTTAAGTAAGTATTTTTTTTTATGGTCATTGTCAATGTCATTTTTTATACATGCGTACAATATTTTTGTCTATTTAATTCATTTTTATTTTATTACATTATTTGTTACAGGGTAGTATTATCTTATAGGAAACGTTATATTGAACTTCGTGAAAAAGTACAATATTTGTATTGTAACAAAGTATTTTGTGGATGGGATTTTGCTATATCTTCTACAAAAGCAGCAAATTTACAATCTATATCTATTTGTAGAGAATTAAAAGAACTTTTAGCTGAAACAAAAAAGCATTCAAAACAAAATCGTTTTATGAAATTGTATGTTATATTTGTACGTATAATTATTTCTATAATAACTTTATGCATGATATGTGGGACCAGTGCAGTACTATGGGTATTATTAAATAAACATGAAATGAATAAATCAATGGCATCAGTAATGGTTGTACCTGTGGTTATTACAGTTATTATGAATATATTCTCAATAATTATATCTTTCTTAGTAAGTATACAAATTATACTTTTAGAATTTAAAATAATTAATTATAAGTAAAGACAGTTAAATAATATTATTTTTTGTTCCAGGGAAAAGTTGAAAGATATAACAGTAAACGCGTTGAACTGTATGTAACCGTGATTAGAATTCATGTATTAGCTGCAGTGATAATCAGCACTCTTCTTGCTTTTTGGTTGATACATAGCACAGATGGATGTTGGCAAACAGAATTGGGAAAAGAAATATATCGACTTATATTTGTAGATTTTATTATCTCAATTTTTATTTTATATATAATTGAAACAGTGCGTTCTGTTATATATGCAATAGTTTGGAAGGGAATTGGAAGAACAAAATTTGATATTGCTCATAGTACATTAAATCTTATTTATAATCAAATGCTTTTTTGGCTGGGTTGCTATTTTAGCCCATTGTTATCTTTGATAATCATTGTAAAAATGATTTTAACATTCTATGCAAAAAAGCATAGTTTAATAAATTATTCTGAGCCACCTTTAAGACCTTGGAGAGCAGCACAAACTCAGACACTCTTTTTAGCACTTTCATTCATTGGTATAATTAGTATATTAATTATGTTTGGATATATTATCACAAATGTACCAAGTTATGAATGTGGGCCTTTTAAAGGACACAATTATACTTGGGAGTATGTAGTTGATGGTGTTCTTGAATTAAAAAGGGATAGTGTTTTTTGGATAGTGATAAGTGAACTTTTAAAACCCTCAATTGGAGCAGCAATATTAATTGCAATGAGGTATTATTATTTTTTTATTTATATAAATTTGCTTTTGTAAATTATTTCTTAGATGATTTTTGTTATATTACAGTGTTGGAGTTTATTGGCTGAGAGCTAAAGCACAAGCAAATAAAGAAATGTTGATCATTTTGCAAGATATGCTCCTTTTACATGCACGAGATAAGCAATTTCTTTTTGCTAAGATTACTAATGCAGGTAAAGTAAATATATTATGAAAGTAAATATGCAGTATAAAAGAAAGAATAATTACAAATATATTAATTGTAAACATAATATTTTTATGTTAGGTAAACTTTATAGACGAACTCATTCAAGAAGATATTCCAGGAGTTTTGTCACCGATGAAACAAAACGTTCTGATTTATCAAATGTGGAAGACTAGATGATATCATTGAGTATTATTTTTATTACGTGCCAAATAATGAAATCATGACTATATTTTTAAAAGTATTACAGATATTTATATTAGCTTTAAGTAATAATATTTATATATGTGTTTTGATTGTATACAGATATTTTTGAGTAGTTTGATGAGAACAAAAATTGTAATATAAAGTATTATTGAAACTAAATGTAATATTTTATTGTGAACAAATATGTAATATATATTTATTTTATAATTCATATTTAGTAATATTGTATTCTTTAATTTTTCCTATTACTACAAATAAATATACTTCTTCGTGTACTTATTATATTATCACTATGGTTACTTCGTAAACACGAGTGTTCGATTATTCCAAAGTTCATAGATTGTGAGGTATCATAATTATAAATTTGAATCAAACATTTAATTGTTTAGTGTAATTATTTTATAAAACTGTATCTTATTTTTCATGAAAAATTTGTCTTAGCTGGCATCCGAATGTTAAATTTAAACATTAAGTTACTTTTTTATAATGAATAGATAAAAAATGACGAATAAAAGATCTGATTGTAACATACTTCCAAATATACCATGGATGCCAGTAATGGAAGATTGTACAAACTCAACAACAGAAGTAACTAATGCATTAGAATATGTTAAATATCCAAAACTATTAGAAGATCAATCATGGACGAAAGCCGTACCTTACAAATTTTGGTTTTGTTATACAAAACCAAGTGAAGGAATAGGAAGTATATTTACTCCTACTTCAGCACAGTATCGTGTTAATACTATAACAAGGAAAAAAAAACCATCAAAATGTTTACCATTTGGAGTTGAAAATAAATTAAGGATGCCACCACGTGAATACATTGAATTCTACAAAGAAGAGAAACGACGAAAAAGAGTAGGAAAGGATGAAGAAGAACAACATTTTCTTTCAGATAATATTATTAATTTAAAAGATTTGGCAGATGGTACATGGTTACATAAAAAAGCTAAGAAAGAAGCTAATCAAAATATTCAGAATAAAGAATTATTAATGAAAAAAAGAAAAGATAAATTGAAGAAAATAATGCTTGAAGAAGAAGTATACATATTTCATATATTATTAACAATATTGTTTCATTAAGTTATTTATTATTAAATCTATAATATTAATTAATATTTATAATCGAAGTAACAACAAACATTACAGAGTATGC